ACATAAATATTGAATGACAAAAACTAATGTGACTGTGTGTGTGTGTGTGAGTGTGAGTGTGTGTATCTGCATAAAACTTCCCATTTGCTCTCAGCTACAGTTATCTTTAAATTGTTTTAGAATGAAATAGGTGAGGAAATTGTTCTCTTAAGTTGAGAGGGGGGGAAAAAAAAATGGTTAAGTACCACACAAAGATCTTTGGGATACAATTGTCATGTGAATCTCTTTTCTCTGGAATTCATTGGATGGAGTCCCCGCCAAGGCTGTTAAAAATTTGAAATGCCTGTTTAACTAGTTCAATAGTTTATTATCTTTTTCTAGCTCTGTTTCTTGACTGGAGTTCAATACTTGCATTCATCCCAATTTATTGCAGGAGGTTTAGCTGGTGAAAAAGCGCTGATAGAATCTCTGACAATGGAGTCAGTTACTCTCCTGTAATAAAGTTCCCGGTTGATCGATGTGCTTTTATTTTTTCATTTAGCAATCCTTCTGTCTTCCCAAATGTCTTCCCAAATGTATCTACCATAAGGACTGCCACTGATCCTAGATTTTCCAGGCAATCTATCTCATTGTGCACTTAAGCACAGTCCTTTACTTTGTTTCTTTCTATGAGATTGGAGTTGAAACAGAATGGTATTTATTTAAGTCTAGTAACTTTTAAAGATCTTTATGCACTTTGGATTTAAAAAAAAAATTCAATATATTTAAAAAATTAGATTCCTTTTTCTTTCTTCTCCTAATATGATTACTTCTGTTTCCTTGCACTAAGAAACTCTGACCTTAATGATGAAGGACTTAAGAGATGCAGGCAAGGTCAGTGAATGTCAAGAGAAACAGCCTCCTCATTAGGTGCATTTCCCTTTTTTCTTTCTTTTTTTTTTTAAATTAGACAGGTGTTATTTATGAGTGTATTTTTTTTTTTCTCTTTCAGGCCTCTGAGACATGGAGAAAGTCATTAATGGCAACTCAGTAATGAGGAAGCTTGCTCTCTCTCCCTTAGAAGCAGAAACCTTCCTGTGCGGCTTGACAAAACCGGTTTCCAGCTGATCCTGCCACATTAAGTGAATGTCTGCATGGTGGCGTTCGGTACATGTATAAAGATTTACTGGGATTTAATAGTTCAATCAAAGAAGGAAATTTGGTGCAACTAAGATTTAAGGTACATGGTGAGTTTTGACAAAATGCATCATAATTTTGAGCAAGATGTGTACAGGAAGTAAGATTCTTTTCCAAAGCGGAGAACATTAACCATCACTTGGAAGAATTAAAAATGCAAAAATATAAGATATATTTATTCTGTTTTAAATATTATAACTTTTGTTTCATATTAATTGAGGTAATATTTTAAGATAATCTTACTGGAGAAGCTCCATTTTTAAAATGTGAGTTATAATAACTTATAAAATTTATTAAATTATTTCGCAGTATGAAATGAAATGTGTTCATATACTTATAACATATGGCAGGGGTCAGGCTATTTCCAGAACTGCATGATTATATTTTTTCAGCATTTAGAATATTTGTGATAGATTTTATAAAGCATAATTTTATAAAATACTTTTTTCCTATATGGAGGATCTAACTAAAGCTGACTGGATTTTTTAATGGATTTACAGAGAAGTTTTTTCTTTTTTTCCTCTCTGATCTAACATTATTTGAAATGAAATGTCTGTGTTTTGTGTCATTAGAGCAAACCACAATTTACTTGTTTTACTTCAGAATATTTTAGAGACATCTACTGGAAAAGCATATTATTGCAAATTTTATAAAATTTCTTTAAAAAGCATTTTGTTACTGACATTTCAAAAAAAAAGTCTTGGATATCACAAAATTAGATTAGTTTCTGAAGACTCTCAAAAGGCATAACAAATGTAAAACATAGCAAATGTATTACTTTTTGTTGGACTTCATGCTCTTTTTTTTCAATGAAGTTCTATTCACTTAAATTTTTAAAAAATTTGTTTTCTCTTGCAAGTATGACTAATGTTTTAATAAGCTAATCTAGAACTTATTACTAGAATTTTGGTTATCTGAGTTGCAGCGAAAAGAGCATGTGTAGAGAGGTTCAGTAATATTATAAATAGCACACTGTAGAATAAGACAACAGGTAGAACTGCCCCATAGATTTTGAATTACAGCATCTCTTCCTAACAGGTTGGGGATGGATCTATATAGAATAAGGGAGAAAGTAAGAGAGAGAGAGCAGTAGACAAGTGGAGAAGAAGTAAAAGAGTACAGTTGCTAGCAGCTTCAGTGATTATTCCTGATCTAGTGCTCTTTCTCTCATATAATTAAAAAGATCTCTCTGCTGTGATATAAACTAAAATGAAATCATTACTTTTGTTTTATAAAATTTATTTCGTGGGGAGGAAACTTGTCAAGGAAGCAGGGATTTGTGAAAGTTATATAGTCTTTTATAAATTTTCTATGAATAAAATAATCTCCTGGTGTTGTGAAGGACTAGCACTGAAGTAATTATAGTGGTAAGCTACCCAACAAGGTTATTCAAAACCCTTCAGGGCTCTGAAGAAATTTAAAGAACAGATCAGCCACACCGATTATCGTTGCCATATTTGGGGCTGCTTGTCATATGAGACAGCGTGGAGAGGGCTGTCAAAGGAAACCTGCCAATTTTCTCTCCCACATAAGAACAAAAGACTGTTGGCACATATATAAAGTGTGATAAAAAAAAAAAGGAGGAGGAACTTGACATGATTTGGGGTAGAAATCAGAAGGGAAAATTGTGAAAACAAACAAACAAACAAACCACAATAGATAAGATAATGAAGACTGATTCAAGGGACAAAGGGACACAGTAGTTCTTGATACATACAGTGCATCAATTGCACTAATGAAAAATTCAACAATTTTTATGTACTGCAATAAAAATGAATAATGGGATGATCATAATATTGTAGGGAATAACAGTGGGTTCTTTTGGAATCACAGTTATATTAGAATTTATTGTATGACAATGACACAATAGGCATACATGCCTTCAGAAAATTATTCCTACCATAGATTTCAATAGAAAGATCTTTCCACAACAGCTTAATTGGCAGAAACGTGAATTATGAGTAATTCTAATTATGGTATTGTGACAGAAGGACACAGTCAACACTGTTCTGGGACATTTTTGTTAACGGGAATTCAAGATAACAATTTATAAATCTAGTATGAAAGATATCCACAGTTTACTTCCAATTAGAACACAAGGTGTCATTAAACAAAACTAAACTACTTGAATCAAATTTAAATATATAATACTTTGAAAAAAAGGGGGAATAATAGTATATAGTAGATATTCAAAACTGTCAGTCTTGTTTCTTTTTATAGTAGGTATACAGTCTTGTGTATATATTTATAATGATGGAATTCTGTGTTTCCTTTCTTTCTAGATGTATATAGTCCACATTGTAATTAATAATCAATCACAGTTGACCCTCGCACAACATAGGCTTGAGCTGTGTGGATCTACCCATACGTGGATATTTTTCAATAAATATACAGCTGGCCCTCCATATCTGATGTTTTACATCTGTGGATTCAACCAATCTGGATGGAAAATAGTATTTTTGATTAGTGGTTTGGAATTCACAGATGTGAAGGCCCATGGTATGTACTGTTCTATGCCATTTGATATTAGAGACTTGAGCGTTCTCAGATTTTGGTATCCGCTGGGGTCCTGTAACCAATCTCCCACAGATATCAAGGGACGACTGTAGTTAAGTTTGTGAGAAGGCAAAAATTATATGCAAGTTTTTAACTGTGGGAAATGTTAGCACCCCTAACCTCTGCGTTATTCAAGGATCAACTATAGTAGGTATAAAAGGATGAAGCATGCATGAGGAAATCACAGTTACCAGCTGGAGCCCAGGACAGCCCTTGACATACAGACTTTGCTTCCTGCCATGTATCTCCATTAAGCCCCTTATGTACAACAGGATGTGTAATGGCATTTATATTTCTAGAAAGGTATGCTGTGAACAAACACTTGAATCTTTAAGAAATAATAATGGAATTAATATTCCTAAGAAATCCTTTTTTTATATAAGAAGAGAAATATAAAAACTAATCACAGACTTTAGAAATATAATTCTAAATACTATCCAGAATTTTTAGCCATCTGCCATATACAGACAATAAACAAATATATTTTACCTCTGTGAGTATATCTGTGTACCTCATGGAAATCCAAAGTCCTTTGAAAGCAGTATCATACTTGGATTTTCAAAGAATATGCTGAATTACCTTGTTTCCAAATATTTTCTGTATAGATAATATTTTGTTTAAAATTTTACTTGATCTGATTATAAAGTACATATTCATGATATACTTTGAAAATGTATTAATTTTTTTTAACATCTCTGAAATTAGGCTAGACCCAGAACAAACCTCTAGATTCTTGTTGAATTGGCCTAGAAGAACCATATGTAATATCCCTAGCTAAACTGCAGGGTTCCTAGAGCTTTTATGTTACAACTTTCTTTCTTTTTTTTTTTTTAATAAGAATCATAATGGTTTCCCCACACTTATATTAATTTTTAATCACAGTCTCTTACACTGCTGATTGAATTCCTGCTAACGGCCTTTCTCGTGATATTCATTCATTTAAAATATGTATGCTGATGCCATATCTTATTTTTCAAAGGAAACCTGTTTAAAGCCAAAAGCAAAATAATAGTCACATAGATGTTAAGCCACGGCAAATTACTGTGTGTTTGATCAGCTTTGCCACCAGAAAAGCCTTAAAATCTCAGCTGAAGAAATGGCTCCATTAGGATGTATAGATATAAAGCAGAATAATTCATGCCATATTTGTATATATGCTTTAAAACGGAATTTCATTCATAGATACAATATTATTTCAAAAAATTGAACTGGAACTAACCAGTTCAAAGAGAAAAGGCAACTCTTTTTTTCTTTACTGGAATTAGTTGCTTATTCTTCAGAAATTTTATGCCTGTAATTGTTACTATAAAATTAATATTAGAATATACCTTTTAGCTGACATTTTGCTCCACTGAACCCAGGACAGCACTTCCATTCCAAAGAGGTGACAATTTTATGTTGCATCCTGTGGACAGGATTTGATGTCCTCTGAGATCTAGAGAGGAGAACCATTGGGAAAAATGGATTATTTGTTTCACATTAAATTACCAGTTGGAATAATCATTGCAAAGTGGGATGATTCTTGAAATAGCATTCAGTTATCATTATCTGTTATTTTATTTATTATTAATATTATTGTCAAACTTAGATTTCTTTAAAAACATTATAAAATATATTAAGGGTCATACTATTTGGTATTTTAAACTTATACTTATCATTATATCTTCTAAAGATACTGTAGGTTTCCCCTTGGAAATGCTTTTCACTAAACCAATGTTAAAACTTATTTGAATTCAAAATTTTAAATAGTTTATGGGGATAATTTATTTTATTTCAATTATTAGTTTTTATATTGTTATAAGTTAAAAGGATCTGTTTTCCTCCAAATCAATATCAAATGACTTAAAACTAGTTGGATATTAGTGATCTAATCGAAATTGATAACCACTATTATTTTCAACCCGAGGTTTCTCATTTCTCAAGTTTTTAAATCATACTATGTATTATTTCTCTCATAAACTATTTCTCAGAGAGAGAGAGAGAGATCTAACATGAGAAAATATTATTTCTGAGAAGAAACCATGGAAGGAAACCATGAAGAAACTATAACATTTCAACAATCAATATAAATAGTGAATGATACTAAATTACAGGCTCTATGTATGTAAATGTAAATCATAAATACAATTTTGCCATATTATTTTTATCCCTATGACTTCAATATATAGCTAATATTTATCAAACAGGTCTATGAAAATTGGCATGTATTATCTTGTTTAATCCTCATATTAGTTCTTCGAGGAAAGTACTATTATTATCCTGATTTGCTGATGAGGAACATGATTAACAGAAAAATGAAATAACTTGCTCAAAATTCCATATCTAAAAGGGATGGAGCTAGGACTTTAACCCATGCTGTGTGGGTTAGCCTCCCCTGTATGATCTAGAGTTTGTCGCATACAACCATTTGCAGACAACACAAGTCGCTCTCATGGATAAACTCTGATTATGTGGAGGAAACATAACAGACATAACAAACATAACTAACATAACAAACATAACAGAAACATAACAGTGTTAAGGAGACTTGGATTTTAGTTTCTGCTATAACTTGATGGGTAATTCAAAATGTGTGAGGTTATTCCTCAATTTTAAGATGAGATTCTCTCCATCTCTATAAGTAGGCTTTATTTATTATTAGAAAGTATTATTTATCCATGTTTGTCTTAGTAAATTATATTCGGTAAATAACTCTTTCCAGTGACATGTCGTCTCTAGTCTAGTAGCTAAAGGTAATAGGAAGGCAGTTTGGAAAGAGACCCTTTCTAGTTTATAAGGGTGAACTCAAGCAGTAGTTGCATTATTGGTGGAGTCAATGTCACTGCTTTGGGAAATTGGATTTCTGATGTATGTGGCTCAAACGTAATAGAAAAGTGACAAACATTGCGTATGTACTGAAATAGCGAATGAATGGAAAGACCCATTAAAAGATAGAGAAAAATAAGAGATAAAAATAAAGATGCATATTTCCGATTTGTTCAAAGAAAAAAAAAGTTCACCTTGAACTCAGAAGGGCAGTTTGATACGGGATACTGTGGTAATATTTTTATTACTAAAAGAATTAACAACGTATTCTTTGTATCTCATGTCAACAAGGAAATTGTCACAAAGGAAGTAGATGCTGAAAGCAGAACTGGTGCTCGGCTTTCTCAAATCCCTAAGATATGCTTAGCTCTCTGGACCATGAACCTTAGCTGTTCCTCAAAGGTTAAGAAACACCTTAATTTTATGTATTCTTACTGCACACTCTTCCAGATTACCGATGTGTCAGATTCATTGCCTGAGTTATTTGTATGACAATTTGCATGACATTAACCATCATGACCTGAATAACAATTTTAGTTCTTATTTCAGGTTCTTCAGAAATACCCCCAGCTGAGCTACTGTGACTGTATGAATTCAGAGAATTTATCAGTTACTCAGCCCTGTGTTTTAGGACAATTACATAGACTTTTTTTTTTTTTTTTTAAATGAAAACTAACATGAGCCATTAGAATAGACACGAGATGAAAGGGCCCACTATTCTGTTTTACCAGGTATAATTGCAATTGGTGGCTTGCCAAGTTATGGACTTCTCTCTAACCTAATATGAAAAGGAAATTATCAATAAACCTTTAAAGCTGTATATGAATTTCATAAGAAAATAAAGGACAGGTTGTTGATCAGATTATAGCATAAAAGTAATAGTAGTAGTAAAAATAGAAATAAGCACGAGAATTAACATTGAAACTTACAAAGTACCAGGCACTAGGCTAAGTATAATACTGCATTATCTCACATATTTTAAAAACACCCATATGAGGCAAGTATTATTAATATCCACATTTTACTTATTTAAGATCATACATCTAGTTTGATGTGAGGACCCTACCCTGACCCTACTAAACATATGTGTCTGGGTTGATTAACTTCACATATTCTAAGCCATACATGATTATGGTATAAGAAGTGTCTATTTTCAAGAACTGTTACATACCTCTGAGGACAGAATCCATTGTTCCAGCCACAGGGCCCTCCCCTACTTGGAACATAAGTGACTTGGTTGTCCAGTATCACTGTGGGAGATAATCTGGTATGTACATAAGCACACCAATTCCTAAGGAAGAGATCATTTTTGTTAGAAAAAAGTCATAGTCAAAGAATTTGTTTTTATCAAAATTATTTTCATAAACCTCTATCTATTACTGCCAGTACTACAGATCAAATACCTTGAGAAATTGATATCTAGCTTTAAAACATCTAGAGACCAGAGAAAACATACTGTTATTCATTGCTCTACTCATGGAAAGTAAAGAAACACTGCAAGATCGAAATAAATTGAGAATAAATCAGACCTAAAACCAGAACCTGTATTGTTTAGCTACAAGCTAAGTCAAAATCCAGATTGCCCTTAGAGCAAATACTAATATTAATACTGAGATTGGAAATTCAGACCTAAGTTCATTACTTCTATAGAATAATGTACAGTAAGACAAAAGTAAATAAATGGTGTAAGGACAAAAAAGAGGAAAAAATAGCTATAATTAGCAGTAGAGTATATCACTGTGAATAAGGAAGATAGGAAATAGTATAGATGCAAATGATTACAATTAGAAAGCTTGGCAATGTAGTTAATATCAATATGAAAATTTTTATAATTAATGAAGTTTAGTCACATGGTTAAGATCAGTTATGACAAAAGATACTGCTTAAAATGGGAAAAATATTATTTTAGTTAAATCCAACAAAAAGTGTAAGATTTAACATATAAAATGTTTAAGCTTTATTGAAAAGCCTGAAAGAAAATCCAATACCTTATGTTCATTGATGGGAAGAGCCAATGTAAATATATAAATTCTCAATTTAATCTATAGATTCAATGAGTTTTTAATCAAACCTTAGTTTGAAACAAGCTTAATAAGCTTATTAATGTAATAAACTGAAAACATAAATTTCAGAAATTTCTGGCTCTTGTCATAACAGAGCACAAGATTTACCTTTCCTTGGTAAAACTATAAAGCTAGACAAGAGATAAAGCAATACTTTTCAGATGCTGGACAACAGACAATGCAGTTATATGGTTCTTGAAAGAAGGGAAACTCATGTATGATGTGAATTCCACATTCAATCTAGATTTCTGCTTTGGATCAATTTTCAAATTGTATCAGAGGGGTAGACCCCAAAGATGGAGAACACTGGGTGAAGGAAACAGAGATCCGAGTTTGGGGCTGCTGAGGCTATTAGAATATGTCAGAAAAGTTAATGAAACAAGGGGGCTGGAAAGAGATGTCATTTTAAAAGTTAATATTGAGTCTCCTTCAATCTTGGGCGGAATACTATGCTGTGCTTATAAAGAATAGTTCTCTGCTAGGCTGGCAGAGAACAAGTTATGGGGATCTGCATGAGCCGAACTGAGGTCCCAGATATCGCCCAGTAGTGGAGAATTCTAACCAGCCAAAGAGGAAAGTTCTTACTAAACACCCCTTAGCATTCACCTCAAGAAGTGAAAAAACTACAAAATGTCATGGAAAGAAATTAAAGGCGACCTAAATAAATAGAAAATGTTCATCAGTTGAAGACTTAATAGTGTTAAGATGACAATGCTCCCCCAAGTTGATCTATGGTTTCAATGCAATCCAAATCAAAATCCCAGCTGCCCTTTTTTTGTTTTTGTTTTTTTTTTTGCCGAAATTTAAAGCTGTTCTTAGAATTTAAATGAAAATGCAAGGAACTCAGAATAGTCAAAACAATATTAAAAGGGGTGGGGGGCACTTGGAACTCACACTGTCCAATTTCGAATATTACTGCAATTACAATAATTAAGACTGTAACTGACTTGCATAAGGACAGAGCTATAGATCAATGGAATAGAATGTAGAGTCCAGAAATAAACCTTTACAGTTACAATTGACTTTTGACAAGGGTGCCAAGTGATTCAATGGGGAAAGAATATTCTTTTTAACAAATGATGGTATAAAAAATGGACAGCCAAATGCAAACAAATGAAGTGGGACCTCCATCTCATATCAGATATAAAAATTAACTCAAAAATGGATCAAAGAATTAAAAGTAAGAGCTAAAACTATAAAACTCTTAGGGCCTGGGATTATCATGTCAATGTAATAAGGCAAGAGGGAAATAAAGTCCTGCTGACTGGAAATTAAGAAGTAAAATTATATTTATGTGCAGAAAACATGAGCTTTATGTGGAAAATAATAATGAACTTACAAAAAAAAACCTATTGGGGGTAGTAAGCGAATTCAGCAAGGTTGTGAGATATAAGGTCAATACGCAAAAACATCAATGGTTTTCTTAAGTAGGAACTAAAATACTTGAATATCTAAAGTTTAAGAAATTTTGTTCATGTGAGTAATTTGAAAAGAGGCTACAGAT